CCGACCGCAGTCAGCCAAGATTGACGCGTTTCAGGGGCAAGCCCCCTTCATCAGGTGATTCTGATGAAGGGGGCTTGTTCCTGAAAGTAACAGTTTCTGTTAGGACTATAAAAAACACCCCTTCTCCACATTTCAATTACTATAAATCATTTTCACTACAACAGTTCCTCTTGAAAACAGCCCTCAATTTCCTTGGTAGATGTTACTTGACTTTTTTTTTAATAATACCTTGTTAGCATCCAGCATACATGTGCACAGTACCTAATATTTGCAAAGAGAAACCATACTGTTAAAATGGATTTTCAGATGAATCATATGAAACCCCAATATTCAAATGTACTACAATGGTGCATGAATTTCAAAGGCCTGAAAATCTAAAAAATAATTGCATGAGTAGATGCATTAAGGCTATTTCTCATATGCCTAGACTTATTACATTTAGTATGGAAGCGGTTCAGTGCGGGTCTGCCATGGGTTTGAGGTGAACTCTATCTGTTTTTGGTTCGCAGACCCATCAAACTAATGTGGACATTTGCCCACCCAAATTTATTGTAATGGTAATGTACTGTAAGGGTTTTTGAGCCTAGGTCAGCTGAGTAAAAAGCAGCCATAGTGTCAGTGTTTTGGAAACAGGGAAAAGATAGGGAAAACTGATAAATTACAGATTTCAGTCAGCTTGCAAACCATACTTTAATTTCACTAGCTCATTGGGTAGTCAAAGCTTTGCATGATTATTATTAATATTATTATTATTGGCCTATTTGTCTCTATGTTGTGGTTGATTTAATGTCAGTGGTCACTTTTTTATTTTATGCTGGTAGTGCTTTTACTTTAGGTTGAATATTTTTTTTTTCAGTGAGCCTTCTCTTAACAAAATTGTGCTTCTATTTTAGAGATAGTATTTTCTGGGTTTTATTTCTTTGGAGGTTTCTTAGTTTATAGGGCCTTTTTAAGTTTGAGGTGCTTAAAGCACAGCATATTTATTTTTCCAATCTGTTTTGGTATCTATCTTTAGTTTGCAGCACACAGGGAACCCAAATAGTAAAAATAAGTTAGGTATACACTGATTAGACCTTCTATCCCTGAATAAAACTGCCTTATTGCTGTCCAGTTTTACACCATTGTAATATCTGTGGTCTCTTTTTGTAGGAAAACACCTACACAGTGACCGGTACCGTTTTGTCTCTTGTCTCTAGTACGTCAAGTACATTCATTAAAAATGTCCTGCTGTTGGCCATTTTTACAATTAGAGTTAATGAGAGTTTGATAGAAATTTCCTGGACCCCTGTAGTCCTGTAAATAAATGGTGTAAAAATAAATACATTATTATTTATTATTAGTTGTATTACTAAAAATTACATTGACTGTATTCATTTATTTAAAACAATTTTTTTTAATTTTAACTATTACACTCAAACTGAATTGTGCTCCTTCTGTATGTATGCCAAGCTGATTGTAAAGAAAAAAAATCAATTCCACAGAAAAATATGTGCTGCGGTTTTTTGCTGTTCTTGAAAATCATCCTTTCATAACACATGCAGCTTTATGGCATCTCCTAAGAGTTTTACTCTAGTGCATTTTGGACCCAGTCTGTCTGACTGAACATATATTTCTATGATTTCTACTTGACTTTAAAGTACACCTATCTTGAGAGACGTACCAGGGCTCCCATTTTTGGCCTTCTGAAAATGCTAGTTAAAAGGCTGTAACTACATTTAAATCACAGATTTAAAGCATGCATGCTATACATTATATTGCTGTTCTGGACAATACCTACATGATGTACCTCATTCCAAAGTCTGTGGCCAGCTTAAGGTAATTACCTGCAAGAAAACATCTGGCACCACCTTAAATATACAACTAAGCTGGAAGACAAGGCAAAATACAGCTACTAGAGAAAGCCTTTAACAAGGTCATGGCAGATAATACAAATCAGATCAGCAGCCATATGCTGATTTTTTTTAACTAGTGCTGAAATTCATTTGATAAAGTATAGGTTTGAAACCTGCTTGTTGAGGTTAACTGAGGACTGATTTAAATCGTCTACCTTTTGTTCTTACTAAAATGTCAATGAGATATTGCTTGAGGCTCCACATTATGAATCTAATTCAGAATGTATTAATATACATTTTTTTAGCCAAAGTTTAATTAGACATAAAAATGAACTGAAATATTTATATAGGTAAATGTGCTCAAACATCATACATTGTTTTAAAAGTTAGTTAACAATCGGGCATAATGATTATTTAATTAATGAGCTGATATCCATTCCTTGAAGATAAGAAGCCCAGAACAAATCACTTTAAAATAGAGTTCAGTGAGGAATTCATACCCTGCTTCAGGCTCCTAAACACAAGTACAGTTGTGTGAAAAATTGTTGGCCCCCTTCCTGATTTTTCATTGTTTTGCACGTTTGTCTCACTTGTTAATGTTTCAGATCATCAAACAAATTTAAATATTAGTCAAAGATAACATAAGTAAACACAACATGCAGTTTTTAAAGGAAGGTTTTTATTATTAAGGGAAAACAATATCCAAACTCACATGGCCCTGTGTGAAAAAGTGTTTGCTCCTAAACCTAATAACTGGTTGGGCCACCCTTAGCAGCAAGAACTGCAATCAAGCATTTGTGATAACTTGCAATGAGTCTGTTAGAGCGCTGTGCAGGAATGCTGGTCCACTCATCTTTGCAGAATTGTAGTAATTCAGCCACATTGTAAGGACTTTGACTAGGCCACTCCAAAGTCTTTCATTTTGTTTTTCTTCAGCCATTCAGAGGTGGACTTGCTGGTGTGTTTTGGATCATTGTCCTGCGGCAGAACCCAAGTTCACTTCAGCTTGAGATCAACAGGTGGCCGCACATTATCCTTCAGGATTTTTTGGTAGACAGCAGAATTCATGGTTCCATTTATCACAGCAAGTCTTCCAGGTCCTGAAGCAGCAACACAGCTCCAGGCCATCACACTAGTCTTTTTAAGTGGCAGAACTTGCACAGTTGGTGGCTGACTAAATACTTTTTTGCCCCACTATATACAGGACTTGCAAATTTTTAGGGTGTCTCACCAGTCAGTCAAAAATGTCACCAGTCTTTTCTATATCTCCATTGATGTAAGGGCGCAATGATCTGTGCTGCAGACTGTTTGATGTGAAATCGCTCCCTGTATTTCTCACTGTTTATCCTGCTTATGGAACCCATGGGGTCTGTGTACATGCACACGCGCTATATACCAATTTTCTCATTTTTATACTGCCTGTACATCAGAGGTAAAATAAAGAATTTGAAAAAAAAAATTCACCAGTCAGCATGACCGGACTAGCCATGGAATTTTCAGGTCGACTCACGGATGAGTCACAGTGCGCGTCAGTTTAAATAGTAACCAGCGCACGCTGTGTCCGGATTCTGACAAGGCTCTGGGCCGCCAGCTGGCTCCGCCCCTTCCACCAGCGAGAGCGCCGTGTGGAATGCAGGGCCTTTCCTGTTAACCAGGGGTGGTGGAAGTGTGCACTTAAGTCACATCCTCTGTCACCCGGCGCGTGCCCGAAACGGGACAGAGGACCGTGATCTCCGGCTCTAGCGGTGGGGAAAGTTCCTACTAAGCGTTCCTTAGCAACCACAGCGCCCATAATACTAAGGCTAAAAACAGGGTATAATGCATTATAAAGCCAGCAGTATTAAAAATGTAATGGAATAAGCATAGGAGACAAGGTGGTATCTGGATGTGATAAGGGTGTTATCTAATACAAAGGCAACAAAAGCAACATCATAAACCAATTTAGAATGAGTGTTGGTGCTCATGGCAACAGTAAATATTGGCAAATAAACATTATGTAATGTATTGTGGACAGTAAATAAGTATACTGTGGTGTATGGTATGTCATTGTTGCAATGTATGAAAGCAAAATACAACCTGAGATGACATGTGGGGTACAGGATGCAGAAATAGAAAGAGTGTACAGTGAAATTAACAAAAATATTACAGACCAATAAGAAAGAAAAAGAAGAAGGGAAAGAAGCAAAACATGATAATCTGCATGTAATAAAAAAATTTGAGCAGTTTTTGTTGTGCTCTACCAGTGGGCCCACCGTCAAGGGGCATCTCTGGGTTCTGCCATACAGATTATAATTTTTTGTATTTTTCCCTTTTTAATTTTGGATGTGTTTCTGACAGCAAAAAGTGAATCTCTTGACTTGTATAATATTTCTCTTTTCTTAATAACATTATGCATGTTTCTAAATGTGCTCCAGTATTTCACATCAATTTTTATACACAGTTCAAGGGGGTCAGAAAATGTGTATGCAAAATTAGCAATGCCAAGACGATTTACAAGCCTCAGCAGCAAACTTTGCTATGGCTTAAATCTACAATTTATCTACTCATGTGATGGTATTAGACGTGTTTCAGTAGACTCAGCCAGATTACTGGATGAATTCCGACTGTCTGCAGCGCTCACTGCATGGTTGATCCTGTCCTCACTAATTGCCCTAATACACATCAGTAATTCATACGGTCTCTTTTTTCCCCCCATTCTCTGGAGAGAAACAAGATTTCTGTCAGTTTTCTCCTGTTACTGAAGCCAAAAGGCAAATTTTTATACCATGCAATTTGTTTCAGTAACACTTCCTGTTCAATACGGTGAAAACACCAAGCATAAATTGTATGAAATGGCACGTTGTATGCGGCTGATTTCGCATTGACAAAAAAACAGACTTAATGAGTAGTTCTATAATCTTTACCTTCACGGTCAGTGCTACATTTCTACAGGAAGTAACAGTTATTGTAATTATTTCTGTGTGCATCTGCTTGTAAAACTACAATACAATAAATGTATTTTACTTTCAGCTTCTGCATAATGAGAAAGATGTGCTATAGAACAAAACAGGCAGCAAGCTTTTTCTGCTGTGGAGAATGTAATGCATTTATAATCCTTGCCTTGAATTTTATACACTTTACATTACAATGATTCTCTTTATTTCTCTCACTTTTCTCCTTTTCTTTTAGCCCAGCTGCTACTGCCGTGATATCACTAGCATTTGGACGCTATATCCTCGAGCCCTTCTTTATGCAATGTGAAATACCAGACCTCGCTATCAAATTAGTCACAGCTCTCGGAATAAGTAAGCACCAACTTCATTGATGAGACTTTTTTATTCATACTAAAACAAAACAATGAAATGTAAAACCATCAGTGTATAATATGTTTTCCATGAAAATGTTGTGCATTTCTTGTAACGGTTTTTAGAAATGATAAATGTTTCTTGTTAAGGGCACTGTCTTTATGACACTCCATTCAGAATGGAAGCCATAAAACCAAGTGTTAGATAAAATTCTATATACTTGGTAGTAATCTCTGGATCTATAGATGCTTTCTTTTAAAATTCAAGGTATCCATATTTTATATATTGACGGAAGTTATGGATGTGCAAACAGTCAATAGTCAACACAATAATGCCAGCTCAATCGACCATTGCTGGAGTTAACAAATAAAAGACCAAAGCAATGGGACCAAAAGCAAGTTGTAAGAATACTGAAGCCATAAGAGTGCAGACAAAATAGACCCTTTCTATATGACCTCTTTTGGCAAACCATAAAATACCTAAATAATAGGGTATTTTTCCTATTTCTCTTGTGGTACAGGCTACTTATTCAGCTTCAATGTTACTTTCTCTGGCTGCTTTTCAAAAGTGGTTCCTTGCTGGACATATGCCTGGAAGCAGTTGTAAAGCTGGTCAGCAAGGGAAAGCTTTTTGTACAACTACTTCCAAAACATGGGCTTTGTACCTATTTATGCCCAGAACACTTCAATCACCGTTGTTTGGTTTCAAACAGAATACTTTTTGTTTTTATTTAATTAGCTCAGTCCCTTATATTTACCCCAAACTGTAATTTCCCTATTCTTTTGAGAAGAAGAAAGCCAAACAAGTGCATTTATAGGTAATTATGACGCGCTGATTGGCTTGAGAGGGAATTTGTTGTTATATTGAAATGCATTTGGTGAAAAGAATACCTTTACTTATCATTTATCATTAGCGTAGCATTAAGAAAAGATCAAGACAGATTTGTGCTGATGGAAATTAGGTGATGAGATCATGTTGTGTTGTGTTCAGAGTGCTACTGATAGGGATGGCTCACAGGTGGATTTTTATTTGAATTTATATTTGAATTCATTTTGTTTTCATTTTTATTTTGTTGTTTTTTACTTTTAACTTTTTTACTTTCTATATGGGGCATTCAAATCATGCCAGGCTACTCTGTCCTCCCAGTGCACCTCTGTGTAGCAGAAGATGAATTACTATAGTGGTCTATTGCTTGTCATTATTATCAATCAGAAATAGTATACAATTACAGTAGCCTGTCACTGCAAAAGGGGAGATAGGGCAGAGATTAGACATGTGCGATTCGTTTCGTTCCGAATCGAAATTCGGACGAATTTTCGGAAATTCGGACATTCGGATGTATCCGAATTTCGAATTATAGACATAACGAATGCAAACGAATCCGAATTTCCATTTCCGAAATTCGGTAGCGTTAGTACGAACGTTCGTTTCGTTTTCTGATCTTATTCGTTTCTTATTCGTTTCTTATTCGTTTCATTCGTTGGAGCAAAGTGACATTAGAGAAGGAGAAAAATATTTTTTCCCCCTCAAATGTCACTTTTGCTGCAAACGAACGAAACGAATAAGAAACGAATAAGAACAGAAAACGAAACGAACGTTCGTACTAACGCTACCGAATTTCGTCCGAATCCGAATTCAGAATCCGAATTGACTTTCACACTTGAATCCTGAAAAACGAAATAACACATATCCGAATTTAAAACGAAACGAAACTAAACGAATTTTTTGGCAGTGCACATGTCTAGCAGAGATGAAGGCATACAATAGAAACATAGGGATGCTTTTGCAGCTCCATATTTAAAACGGAACTCCAACCAAACAGCTAAGAATGCAGATAAATACATACAGTATATACGCATTCCAGTCAGGGCACTATCTGCATAGAGTTTGCATGTTCTCCCTGTGCTTGCATGGTTACTCCGGTTTCCTTCCACACTCCAAAGAAATACTGGTAGGTTGATTGGCTCCTGTCCAAATCGGCACAAGTATATGTGTGCATGTATGAATGCATGTGAGATAGGGACCTTAGACTGTAAGCTCCTCAAGGGCAGGAACTGATGTAAATGTATAGAATGTAAAGCACTATATAAATACCTGTAATAGATAAATGATCAATAAATATTTTAATTTGCAAATGATTAATATTTCTGTTCAAACTGTTCAGAGATGTATACAGCACTGCCCCACAGCATAGCCCTGCTTGGCCTGGCAAAATATCTGATTTTCTCTGCTGTAATTAGGTATTACGTACAGGTCTTCTACCTTCCCCAGTCTATGACTGGACAGTTAGATGAGAAGCAAAAGACTGATGAGCTCATCTACCTGTCATTCTGCTGTTTCCTGCTATAGGCATGCTCCTTGTTAACACATGAAGACTGATTAGCTCCCTGTGCTGATTCTCCCTGTTCCAGTCTGAGCTCTGTCATACAGTGGGTTATAGGAAGCTAATACAAGGTTAAAAATACATTTAATAATGTTTTAATGAATGCAGAGCTTCATTTATTTATGTTTTTGTATTGTATTTGTTATTTGGTTGGAGTTCAGACCTAAATCTAGTCAAAGTTATTAGATAAAGGGGATATTTGTTGGGAGATGGATTAATCTGCAACTACTTTTTTTGTAAAGAGTACCTGTGCTGATACTTATTGATACTAATTAAGTTTAAAGTATGTCTAAACTCAATCACTAAAATCTCATATAATCTGTAATATGTTAAAGCTTTACCTTCAGTCTTTTAGCATTGCACAGACTCGTCTCCTGTAATGAAATTGCTTACTCTGATTTACCTGCACACTGTGAACTTGTGACAAGGCAGTTAGGGCCCACTTAATCTCCTGGCTAGAGGACATCCAGCATGATCTTACCTATTCCTTCCCAGCTTGACTATGCATGGCTCACCCCTTTTCATTAATTGTTTTTTAGTTCTTTTAATCATGGACTCTTAGGGGTTGATTTACTAACCTTATAAACACACCACAAACATGTATACACCTCTGTAGTGTGTTCCCTCCCAGCATGATCTACGGGTGGAATCTAAACACCTTTGTAGTGTGTACACACCCAGCAGGTGTGTTGTGCAAAGCCCTGCATGAATTGCAAGGTGATGTTGTGTAAATTAGCTCTATGTTGTGTTGCTTGCGTTGATGAATGCAGGAATGTAAATGCATGAGCTAACCATTTTTGTCTAAACTGTGAAGCAGCATTATATATGCATCATGTGCATGATTTTTTCATATATGGCATTAGTGGAAATATGCTTTTAGAGACTTTTTGGTTGATAAATACGCTTTGCTGTGTGAAAATCACACGCACCTGGTGCGTGCGTGTGTTTTAGGTTAGTAAATCACCCCCTTAGAATCACCTGTGGACATGACTTTGGGTGGTCTGCATGTAATTACAGTCTCCTAGGAACATCCACTCCTCAAGACTGATGCCAGCCCATAACAGCATTGTCACATTTGCACAACTTAATCCCAGTGCCAGTCCACTGCATGCATCAGGGCTGAGTGTCCTTAAGAGGAGTATTAAGTATTAAGGCTGGGTACTGGGATGTTTTCAGGAAGTTATGTACAGCACCATGCAGGCCCCTCCCACCAGTCATGATCTGCCAGCGTGTAGGGAACTTTAGGGCCTATTGTTATTCACCTAGTGAAATGCTTGTCAATTTTAACATTGCAGTCCTCTCAGGGACCACTAGATTTCCCCACACATCCTTGCTACACCGGTGTAGGGCCCTTTCAGGAGTAATCCCACCAATGTGGTTGCTGGAAATATTGCTAGTCAATATTTAAAGTCAGGAGGGTGGAGTCAGTTTGTTGTTCACAGCTGAGAAGAGATTGAGGAGAAAATATTTTTTCTCACGCTAAGCACAGAGCAGCAAGATGCGAGTAATTTGAGTACTGGACTGTGCGTTCCCTTTCTGGGGAGCATTGGGACTACTCCCTGGTGGAGGTGGGAGGGAAGGAGAACATTTACTCTTTCACTGGGAGAAACATGCTATATTATGCCCATTAGAATCACTTGAACATTGAGGTTCTCCTTATAGAGTTGCATTGTGGAAAAGAAATGTAAAGTGAATGTCTGTGAAGAAATAACTTCCTTTTTCTACATTTCTGCACTTGAAACTTGTAACTTTATTTTATATAAGTAAAAAGTTACCTTTCATGAAAAAGGATTGTGAATTCCATATGGATATTCGTTTATTTGCCTGTGGAATACTGTTGATGGAAGAACCTAAGTATGGAGGAGAGAAGGCAAACACCCATGAAGAGTTTTAGGTTCTGTAGTGGCACTGGTTAATCTGGCTCTGTCAGACTAACCAGTATTTATGATGATGAGCTTATAGTGTGGTTGATGATCTTTACACACACTGGTAACACCCTGTGAGATTTGAGACTTTGTATCCCTGTGTTGGGAACATGAGGAGCCCTGCAACAATAATACAAATTCACTTTACATATAGTGCACAGAGAAGCACAGAGAGTCAGTGATTCTATCTCTGGGTCTAAAATAAGGTAATGGAAACAGAAAGGATTTATTAAAAACTGCATAAGCATGTTGATGAATGGGGAAGGGGAGGAAACAGGGAAACTTTAATGTAATTTTCAGAAGTTTTTAATCTGTTTAAATCTGCAGCTTTCTGTAAAATAATAGCTGCAATAAAGGTCAAGGTCTTCCTGTAATGGGTTTAAACTCCCCCTGCTTTGTCACCTGCTTCCCTGGTTGAGACTATGAAGGTGACATAGTTACATAGTTACATAGTTACATAGTATTTGAGGTTGAATAAAGACACATGTCCATCAAGTCCAACCTATTGTGTGTGTGTGTGTGTGTGTGTGTGTGTGTGTGTGTGTGTAAAGATCCCCGAGTCATCTCGTTTTTAGGAGTACTTGTACCCCTGTATATTACCGTTTCTCAGGAAATCTTCCAAAAGCTTCTTGAACGATTCCACACTATTAGCTGAAATCACTGCTTGTGGCAACGAGTTCCAGACCCTAACC